CCCCCTCAGAGCGCCCCAGGGCAGCACATGGATAATCTTGAGTCACAGCTCATTTGGAACTTCCTGTTTTCAGCCTCTTTGCGAACCCTTGGAGGGGTTTCCAACCAGTAAATAAAGCAGAGAGCCAAGACTCTTTGTGCGGCCTGCAGCCATTGCCCCATCCTCGCTGGCTGGGAACCTACAGGTTCCCTCACCCCGCCTGCCCTTTCTGACCCAAGGACCTGCCCAGCAGCCCCTCCAGCTGCTCCTCCCCACTCCAGACCACCTCACCTCTTCTCCAGGACCCCACTTCATCAAGGATCTATAGTCGAGGCTGTAAGCTCTTCCATATATAGAACACAGTTCCAAGCCTTTATCACAAAATTTCACCTTCTAAAAGACAACTTTTAAAAAAAGAAATCCCACACATTTGCTTTGCTCTCCATCAAGTTCCCTCATTTTTCCTTCCAGCCCCTGCTCCCTCCCAAGTTACCAGCCAACCAGCCCCTCCCTCCCTCTTTCTGGAATACACAGATTCTGGCATTCTGCTGGGTTAGGGTCTCTGTACTTGCTGTTTCCTGCCAACCAACGCACTGCCATCACGTGATGGGCTAGAGAGAGAGGAACAGGGTTGAGCTGTCCCATCGGGTTTCCAAGGCTGTAAATCATTATGGAATCACATTGCCTCCTCTTTCTTCTACAAAGTCACTGATGAATTTGAACTGCCAATGTTTTGCTTAGACGCAAAATCCTTTGACCACATGACCATCAAGGCTCCTCCTCCATCACCATTAGGCCTTCTATCCAATCTTCTCCTATCTAGTCTTGCAAGCCACACCAAAGCATCTACCATGTGCCAGGCATAGGTGTGACATCTGTGGACACAGCTAATTTTCTGCTTTTAATGCTTACAATCTAATGAGGAAACAGATGCAGGTGGATCCAGGGTGGAGCCCAGTCGTGTGAAATCAGATTTTATCACTTTGAGGACCCTCAACATACCACATCTAGCTGAGGCCCAAGTCGGCTGCCCTAGCTCATGCCATCACGCCCACATCCCAGCCAGCAGAAAGCAGGGAAAGGGAAGATACTCTTTCTTTTTGAGGACGCTGCTCAGAAGTTGTTCATATGACATCCACGCCTGTTGTATTGGCCAGAACTTGAACATTTAGTGGTAAGGGAGACTTAAGGGTAGGGGAAAGTCTTTGACTGAGGGATCAAGTAAGTGCTCACTAAATCTTAGGAGTCTTATTATTAAAGAAAAAGAAAAGGATGGAATTTGGAAGACTCCTACCATCAGAGCCGCAGAGAACAGAGGTTTCTCAAAAACTCAAGCTCTTTGCCTGCAAGACAGAACCAACTCACAGCTGACCCTCCGGTGAGTTTTCAGAAGCTGTAAATTGCATGGGAAGAAATTGCTCATCTTTTATCTGCAGAAAAACTGGGGGATCTGAACCCCCCACCTTTGGGTTAGCAGTACAACTCTCTATCCACTTGCACCTTGTCGTTGTTGTTGTTCTTGTGTGCCATCAAGTTGACTACAATTCATAACAATCTATGAATAACAGATCTGACCCTTACCCTATCCCACCCATTGTTACAGTCGCTGCATCAGCCCATCGTGTTGGGAGTCTTCCTCTCCTATTCTGGCCCTCCACCTTTCCCAGCAGGATGTTCTTTCCCAAGAACTGGCCCCTCCTGGTCACATGTCCAAAGGATGTAAGACAAAGTTCATCATCCTTGCCTCTAAGGAGCACCTGGCTGTACTTCTTCCAACACAGACTCGTTTGTTCTTTCGTCAGTCCACGGATATTCCGTGCCATAGCTTCCCACGAAACAGCAACAGGCAGGTCGTTATAATACAACAAACTGTCGGATGGTCAGTGATGATGTTTTTCAAATTCTCACAACTTTAGAAAATTTATAATGTTGCTCCATTTTTTTTTTTAAATGGGTCTATAAGTTGGAAGCAGCTTGCTCAGGTCCACAGCAGATCAATGTTGAGTTGGAACATTTGAAGTCTTCCGATTTAACGAAAAGACTTACCAGCGCTGGCTCTTAAGCTCAGCACTAGAATGGGAGATGAACCCAGCTTCTGTTCCTCTTGGATTGACAGGCCAGTGAATCAAAAACTAAAGATGCTCAAGTCACCTGGAGAATTGATGTTGTTTTTATTATGTTGTTATGTGCCTTCAAGTCAACTACGATTCATAGTGACCTTATGCACAATAGCTCTGGACCCTGCCCTAACCTGAGCCATTCTCACCTGCCCCCATTACCACAGTCACTGCATCAATCCATCTCATCCAGGGACTTCCTCTCCTGCTCTGACCCTCTACTCAGGTGCGAGCTTTGAAACCCTAAGTCACATCTTGGACAGGAGGAAACATGTTGTCGCTACTGGAGACATAAGATAGAAGTGGAAGAGTAGATGGGTTTAGAAAGTAGGAAACTCTCTTGTTACTTTTATGTTTTTTACAAAACAGGGCTCAGTGTTATGGCTGAGGAAGAGAAGGTGGGCCCCTTGTTTCATGGGCCCCTTTCTCCCCATCATCATTTGCAGGCCCCACAGGGTGGTTGGCAGGCAAGCCCTCACACACACTATCAGAAGGCTGTAACAAGCAGCTGATAAGTCTTTAGAATCCTGAGTTCCTTCTTACTCTGTGCTTTGCTGCACTATGATCATAGCCAAGTCAAGAAATCTGTTTCCACATCCACTGCAGTGGTGCAATAATGTCTACTCTGTCTGAATCACAAGCCAATTTTGAAATCTGTGGGAGTGTGAATTTTGGTAATGCAAATTTATGTGGTGGTGTTCTGTACCGTTGAGCCCCCTGTGACTCATAGTGACCCAATGTACAATAGTTTTGAAACCTGTCCTGAGCCAATCTCACTGTCTCCAACACACATGTCCCTTTTGCTCAGTCACTGTGTCAAGTCATCTGATCCAGGGTGTTCCTCTCCTGGGCTATCCCTCCACCCTTCCGAGCATGATGTCCTTCTCCAAGAACAGGTCCTTCCAGGCAACATGCCCAAAATATGTGAGACAGAGCTCTAAAATCCTTACCTCCAGAGAACAACTTGGTTTCACCCTCTCCAGGAAAGACCTGTTGGTTAATAGTTGTCTCTAGCACCACAACTCAAAGCCATAAATTAATTCTTCTATCATCCTTAGTCATTATCCAGCTCTCTGATGCTTAACAAGTAAATGCAAAGACCATGACATCTGAATGAGGTGAATCTTAGACTCTGGTTGACATGTTAAGTTCTGTCAAACCAAGTACAATTCATGGCAACACTACGAATAGGTCTGAACCCTGTCCTATCCTGTGTCATCGTCATCATCTCTGACATACTTAAGTCACCAGGTTAAATTCACACAGGGTGGGCATTATTGTGGTGACACACTGAGCCTTGATGGGCTGGTGGGAAGAGCTAGGAGAAGGTATAGCAAAGGGATCAGCACCAGCCCCACCTTTCCACATTGGCAGAGCCAGCAGCCCAGAACCAGCCCCTTCAGAGAGGAGCTGAGCTGTGCCTGCCCTCCCCTAGTATCAGAACATCTCTGCTGCCTGGATGAGGGTGACAGGAGAGGAAGTGGACAAGCAGGGCCCCACAAGAAGCAGGAGGGTCAGCCTGCCCTAATGTGCACGGCCACGGAGTCAGACTCTATTATGTCTGAGGTGGTTTGTCATAGAACTTTGGCCTTCACCCTGCACTTGGCCTCAGACGCTCTCCTGGGACCACTCCCTGACCCAAGGACACAACCCCATGTTCCCGGCCTCCACCCAATAAACAGTGTGTGCTTCTGCCTGAGGGCTTTGGCTAAGGATGGCTAGCCTTGTCCAGCGTATGCTCGGGCACAGACACGCTCATACACCCACAGTGTGCACACACACATATACACCGCATAATTAGAGCACAGCACACATACCTTGTTCACATACACACACATCTACATATATCACACACATTTACACCACACACTGCATGCACACACACACACACAAATACACATTACATACTAGACACCATGCTTAGTTACTAACACAAACAGTATGTAGCCACAAAAAGCACTACCTAAACATACACCAAGAAGCCCTGGTGGCTTAGTGGTAAGGAGTTGGGCTGCCAATCCAAAAGCACACAGTTCTAATCCACATGCTTCTCTGGAAGAGAAAGATGGGCAGCCTCCTCTCATGTGATTTACTGCCTCTGAAAACTCATTGGAGGCTTAACTGTGAATTAGTGCTGACCTGATGGTGTACAACCACAACAACACACATACACCACGCATACCAAATGAACATGAAAACATGCCACAAACATAATACAGTACATGTCACCCCCATGCAAACATACCACGGATTATATTAATCATACACGCACACCCCATGCACACACACACCCCACACATGCACGTTCCCACAAGTTCCCCATACACATACACACACACCTCACGCACGTACGTAATGCTCATTCAAATCTGCCTCCCTTACAGTTCCTCACCATTCAGTCCTCTAAACAACTGCTGGAGTGATTTTTCTGAACAAGTCAGACCTCTTTCTCATTTAAAATCCCCTTTCTCCCATCAGTGGTTTTCCAGACTTCTGGCTAATGTTTCAGGTTCTTATCACAGCCTCTGAGACCTTCCATGATCTGCTGACCCACCTTCCTGTCCACTCAGCCTGTGTGAAGTAATTCACCTTCTCCCTGCACTAGCGATGTCTTTTCACACCCTCGCTCCTCTCGACTGACTGCCCCCCTCCTTAGTCCATCTGAAAACCCTATTTATGCTTCCAGACACCATTCAGACCTCACTTCTCTAAAGCTTCCTGATGACCCCAAGTGGGATTGCTCACTTGCCCTTCTGTACTTGGTACAGGTGTGGACTGGGATGAGTTGCTTCCTGGGCCTGCTTAGCTGGCTAGCTGCTCTTGTCCCACCTGTCTGTACCTGTGAAGCTCAGTGGTAGGTGTTTGTGAATACTGTGATAATTCCCCCCTCATCCTCTCCCACAGATCAAAGTGGAAAACCAGCACGACTATCAGGACATCACCAGCGTGATAGCCATGGCCAAAACCTATGCCACCACCGAGGCCTTCATCGACTCCAAGTATGACATCCGCATCCAGAAGATTGGCTCCAACTACAAGGCTTACATGTGAGTGCCAGGTGCAGGGCTGGGGAGCTGGGAGGAAGGAGTGTGGGAAGAGGGGGATTGGAAACGGATGCCCAATCCGCTCCTGTCCTGCTCTGCGCCAGGACCATGATTTCCCCCTTCTGTCTACTTTTCTGCCTTGAGTTTGATCAGTACTGATGAGAGCTAATGTACTATTACAAGTTAAGTCAAGAGAAGACTCTTTGTCCTTCTCCAAAGGCTATTTCCTCAGAGGAAGAAATGTGTTTATCATGTTGGGGAAAGTGCAAGTATATAGGAGGTATATGGTATGGAGCTTGGAACAGTCTCTTGAAGATCCCATGAGCTACCAAGAGAGTGAAACCAGGGTATTACTTGGAGGCAAGGATGGTGAAACTCTGTCTCACATGTTTGGGGCATATTGTCAAGAGGGACTAGGCTTTGGGAAAAGACATCATGCTGGGAAAGGTAGAGAGTCGGTACAAGAGAGGAAGACCCTGGATGAGATCTGTTGAGACTGTAGCAATTGGGTCTAGTATGCTGGAAATGGTGAGGTTGACTCAGGATAGGGCAAGATTCAGAGCCGTTGTTCATAGGGTCCCTGTGAGTTATAGGCAAATTGGGGGCACATACCAACAATAACAACATGTAACGGAGATAAGACTGGAAGTGAAGTTGAGAGATAAACCAAGGGTGGTCTTCAATGCCCTATCCAGGGGGCTTCGAGCATCTTCTCTTCTGAGAAGAGGCATAGTCTCTCCTGTATTTGCAAAATGTTTGCTTTGAGCCAATGGCTGCACAGGGATTTCCTCAGAACCAATGAGAGCATGTAGGAATTGGCTTCAAGTTCCTCTGGCTGCAAACAACCAAAACCAGATATTAATTTAAGGGGTGTGTGTGTGTGTGTGTGTGTGTGTGTGTGT